TGTAACGCGTAACAATAAAATTTTAATATTTTTTCTAAGATATCAGAGGCAAAAAGCGGATGAAGCGTAGAAATAAGAAAATCCCTAAAATGCCGGCCTGATCCTTGCGAATGTGTGGGAAACATCATGATTGATGGATTTGATGTATAGTGCCAACACCAACATGTAAATGAATAATGAATGGCATCGCATGTGCAACGTTCCACAATTTAGTAAAATGTACGGGTAGTAAAATGTACGGATCTGGACTGCTAATGTCCGATTCAAAGTAAATTTGGGCGCATTCATAACTCTCACCATAACTCAAGAACTAAATAGCATACACGGTTGATCAAAACGTCAAACAAAAGGGTATTTATTCAGCTTTCAAACGATATATAACAAGTTATTACATTTCACCGTTTCGAACAAACTGTCGCACTTTCCTTTTGATCGATTCCATCATGTTCTGCACAGTCGCTGGTGACACTGTACCGGCGAACTTATTCCACTTTAAACGCATTTGTTGTGCATTTGTCACTTCTTTACTGCATCCTCGAAATTTCCGCTTGGCAATTGCCCAATATTTTTCGATCGGTCTGAACTCAGGGCAATTCGGAGGATTAATCTCTTTGGTGACGAAATTAGCATTGTTTGCAGCATACCATTCTAGTACCTCCTTAGAGTAGTGGCAGCTGGCTAGATCCGACCAAAACATAACTTTGGTCTTGTGTTGCCGAATGAAGGGTAAAATCCGCTTTTTCAGACACTCTTTAATGTAAACCTTTGACATCATTGTGTGAGATGTGATGAAAACCTTGGTTTTAAGGCCACAACTGCAGATTCCTTGCCAAATCATTAGTTTCCGAGCAAACGTATCAGCAAAAACAAATTTATGCTTGGAAGGGACATCCCCACGACCAGTTGACAGGTAAAATTTTCGTCCGGGGATTTGTTTATAATCCATTTTGGCATATGTTTCGCCATCCATTAAAATACAGCCAACAAATTTCGTCAAAACTCGTTCGTATAGTAATCGTGCTCGCTTTTTGGCCACTACATTTTGTTTCAGTGAGCGATTCGGATGTTTACTGGAACAAAAGACTTATATCCTTCTCTTGAAAGCATGTTACGCGCGGTGGAAAAGTTGGGATCGTATTTCTTTGCCAAATCACGTATGGAGACACGTACCTCAACACCTTTCTCCTCAGCTCTTTGACCCTAGTGCCACTTTAATGATAGATGCGCTGTGCTCTATCCACACTCAGAGTATCCTTGTAACGTTTGATTACAAGACTAACCGTTGACTTTGGGAATTTTAACACTTTTGCTATTTTTGAGGCAGACCACGAAGGGTTCTCTAGATGTTTGTGCACAATTAATTTTCTTTTCTCAAGTTCCATGATCCGTAATTTCAGGATGCGTCGATCAATCGAGAAAAACTTTGGACAAAATTCTTCTTCAATGAAATATCAACAAATGCCTGTCAAACGTTTTTTGTCCCAACCACCAGGGGCGCGGTGGTGACCGTGCGTCCAGATTTACTTTGAATCGAGTTTTAATCACCATTCTGCATACGTCGAGGGAGGTATCAAATTTTAATTTCGATCAGAAGACCCTCGAATAAGGAAACAATCTGCGAAAATTATGCAATCATTTATTGAATCTAGGGGTTGTGCTACGTTACCCCGAATGCCGTGACCCCGTATGTAATTTTCCGGAACGCCATAACCTCGAATGGATCCTTTTCCGAAAAAGAATCTGTCTTCTTTTGATTGCTGTGCGAACGCGTGCGGAGTAATGAAGTCCGGAATGATGGCGATCGGGGAAGTGACATTCGGGATAACGGCATCCGGGATAATGTAGCACAATAGCACCCCCTTCACTCTTCCAAAATTTAAGAGACAGATAGCTGCGCCATCCTCATCGACGACGGGGTAACGTTGAACTGCAGCGATGGATAAAACAAACACACACATACGCATGAGCGAACCTACAGCGAAGAGCAAAGAGGACAACACAACAGTGTTATCATTTCTGTTGTTGCGAATAGTTTCATGATTGCTATCGTTCCTGCAAATCAAACAGTTATAATTGATAAGGATGGAGATGGAGATCAGCATTGATCTTTATCTTTCAATTCAGATTATTATCTTAGAAACAAGTTTCTTAGACTGCCATCATATCCTTTTCATGCCAGTAGCAGTGTCCTCGAGGCTGCTCGTGTTCCGTTGCTACTTGAAATTAATGTGGTCGTACCAACTGCTCTTCAACATTCTTTTGGTGGCTAATTAAATGCCATTTAATCACTAAGGCTGTGAACCATTTGCCGAGTTAAATTTAATTCGTGGTTAAAAGTGACATTTCGAAAGTTATTTTCTATGTTCGAAAATCCCTGTGCTGTCGATCGACCGGTTTTCGAGAAGAACTTAGCCAAGGTTGTCAAAATTTAACTTCTTGTCTGTCAGAAGTAACCACGCTCGGCTAGGATCGGAATCAGTAGCTCGTCGTGCTCAGCTCAGCATTACTCAACCATCACTACAAAATGGTCCTTTTCAGGACCACCATAAATTTGTTAAGAGTATTATTTGGAAATTTGTCAAGGTCATCAGTTCCCGCAAGCAGCTAGCTATAAAGGCTCAACCTCACAGATAAAAATTCTGAATTTTAATTGTGATGTAAACATTCATTCACGTAGACTTGTATTTCATTTCACGCAACCGAGCAACTTGCAAACAATGTTGTTTACAAAAATGGGCTTTTCTATGCAATATTTCATTGCATGATATGTGCCAGAACTTTACATGATATATAAGGGATGGTCCATTAATTATGTCACGCAAATTTGACTCCCCCTCCCCCCTTTGTCAATTTTTTGTATGAACCTTAATTTTTTTTGTATGGCTCGTCACAGTATTCAAAACCCCCCTCCCCCCTGAATGTGTGACATAATTAATTGACGACCCCTGATGTAAACGTATATGATATGTGACGCTCCATTTATGTGCATCATATTGAATAGAAATTTACACTACTTTTTCGAACTGTGCTGGTCTCTATATAAGGTGTGGAATTGTAGGCCCGAATGTATTGGTGAGATTAATCATCGTCCGACCATTTTCCAGAACACGCTGGTAGGAAGTGTTAAAAATCAAGCTTCCGTTCGTGCCCCTAGGCACAGACCCTTCTACTTTTTCTTTTGCTATGTATTTTTCGACAGCGAATTAATCATTTTTTGTTTTAAATTTGTTAATTTGTGTGCTGAAATTTAGTTTCAATTGTTCATAAAGTTATCATTTAGTGATGTATCGTGTTTTGCCTTTTGCCTTGAGTGACTTGGTTGACCTTGAATCTAACCTCCAGAATCTACGACGCAGCTTAAATTCTATTGTTCGGTGTTGGTTCTCATTGCCTCCCGGGAGCCCGATTCTTCGAGTTCGGATGGCACACTTTCGGCATGTAGTTCTATTGAGAGATTCGTCACCGTGGGCGATTTTGAACCCGGTCCGGTTGGTCAATTAGCCCGGGAACGTGTTGATAATATCTAGATAGAGCTGAAATTAGGGCGTAACAGCCTTTGTAAACAATGACTTCTCTCGTTGATTTCTCGGAATTAAAGGAACACCTACACAAACCAACATATCCATCGGGTAGGAGAAGTCTTCCTCTACTCGATGGTGATGTTGATTTGCAAGGGAGAGCCATGGCTTCAGAGAAATCATCGAGAGAAGTCATTGTTTACAAAAGCTGTTACGCCCTAATTCCAGCTCTATCTAGATATGTCCGTCGCGAGTTTTGGTCGTAATTCAGCCGTGAATCAGCAAGTTTTCAACTTGCAAAAGTGCTCGGCTGCTGGTCTCTAGCCGGTTCCGGAGATTGCGAGTAATATGAAAGATGCCTCGCTGGATACGCCCAAGACTGGACGGATGGTAGCTGGTGGCCGCGAACCACCTCCCAGATGACCATGGCAATGCAAGAAAATCTGTCTTCGTTGAAGGAAGTATTATGATAAAGGTGCATCACGAAATAAGCTGCAAAGCTTAGAGAAAATCAAAACTACGGAATGCATGGATTGAAGGATCAAGTGAACATGGTGAGACCAGTCCAAATACATCTTACAATTGAAAAAAAAAAAACTTAATACGTGCCTGGTTTGAAAAGAATATTTTCCATTTGATCCATTTGATACATGCATACATGCGGGGCTTTTTTAAAGTGAAAGTAACCTCGGAATGGGCGTGACTCTCCAGACATTCTGAAATGGGTAGCTGGATCTGCAATAGAGCTATCACCTTCTAACTCCCGGACTAAAGCTGTCTACAATGACTATAAATGAGACATTGTAGAGAGAGTTCTTCCATAATAACACTGCCGGCCAGTGGGGGTTAGATTGAATACACACACCCGCACACACACAGAAGTGGCATTAGCGTTTATCAGTGCGACTGACAAATTGTTGTGAAAAAGTTGAATAAACGCTCTCCAAACCTGTAGCTGTATGTGCAGCTTTTTCCAGCTACTTTGCAGCACAATGCTGGAAAAGTTGGTTAATAAAGCTGAAAATGTTAGTTGGGTACTCACTCATCGCCATTACTCATTACAGCTAAAATAGCTAATGTTGACCCCCTGAAAGCAAAATTTACAAGATTTATGTGTCATACACAAGCTTTACCTTCTCTTCTTGCATCCTACATATAAAAATTACTATTATAATATCTCATAGTTTAATAATTTCGAAAAGTAGCATTTCAGCTGTAATGAGCATTTCTAAGCCTGGTTCAGATTGTTAACGAGACTTTCAGCCATGGGCCGGTTCATCTCCTGAATTCGTAATGGTTTCACAATTGTAATTGTACTTCAAGCTCTTCATCTCGGAAGTGCTTGCAAAGACAGTTGAACCGTATAAACAACGTATTTGAGTATAAAAACAATCAATAATCAGTGATTAATCATCCAATTCTACCTCCACATCCCCCAAGAACTTCTGCATTTAATCGACGGGTATTTATCTTCTCTTCCAGGTCGCAAAATACCGGATATCGAGCAGATTTTGCGCACCGTTCGTTCCGCTTGGAATACACCCAAATCACAGCGATCGCTCTCGCAAAAGTAAGGCTCCTCAAATCATCACCCTAATCCAACTTTCAGCATTAACCTATATACAAGTTATCGATCATGGAACGTATAGAATCACAAAACATAAACAATACCCACCTCAATTTATGAACTGTGGGCTGGGAATCATCCGAGCAACAATTTCCCGAACCCTGGAGCGTACTCCCAGTGATTGTGGGAAACGGTTTTCCAGGAAAAAAAAAACAAACTTTTAATAACCCCTAATGACTTTCTTTTGTTCCCATCCTAGTTCTACATCCATTTCGTCACGCGGCAAAAACACAAGGAACAAAGCAAAAGTGAATGGAATGGAAAAAAAAATGTTTTACTCTTTCTTCTGGTTTCTAGAAGACGCTCACTGGGTGGTGAATGGAACAACAAATAACAAATGAAACCGCGACTGCCACAACCACGTCGCTAGCACGGTCATTGAATCTGACTCATATTTGAGTTCCGTATACTAAAATTTGCCAAATCGTAGGTCACCCATAGACTGAGTAAAATTTTCATCGATTTTCCTCATATTCGTGCAGATTTTTGAGGAAAAGCGATATAGAAAATACTCAGTCTATGAGTGACCTACATTTTTTGTGATTTGAGTGAAGAACCACTCAGTGTTGAGTCGATCTCATCGGCCGTGTGCTTTTGAGGGATGAGTTGGGAAAACTTTCTCTACGAAAGGCCTCTATATTTTATGGAGAAATTGCGTCTTTTCTATCTTTCCAGAAAATAGATGTTGACCTCCAGGTGACGGTTGTTCATGAAAGGTTAATGAGTGGCATTTTCTATCGATTTAAGCTCGACAGTGAATTGTTCAGGATAATTTATGATTTTTTTTTTCAGTTTACGATGCTATATAAGTCTCATTGCGTATTTTATCAGACCTATAGCGCATGCCGATTTTCATATAAAATGCCCAACAAACAATTGAGAGCTCTTATAAAACACCTGAGTTGATCAAACGTTGAATAATAGCTTCCAGAGTTGAACAAGAATGTAGTTGTATTGCCATTTGATTAAAAGTTTTAAAAGCTGTTGGAGCACTCTTAAATGATTGTTTACGCTCGGTTTAACTATATGCTTTATAAGACCTACGATAACTTTTATAGCACCTTAGTTAAACTGATTGACAAGAGCTATATAGAACGTGAAATAAACGCATCAAAACAAACCATTGGGAGCTCTTATACAACACCTGAGTTGATCAAACGTTGAATAATAGCTTCCAGAGTTGTACAAGAATGTAGTTGTATTGCCATTTGGTTAAAAGCTTCAAAAACTGCTTGGAGCACTCTTAAATGATTGTTTACGTTCGGTTAAACTGTTTGACAGGAGCCATATAGAACGTGAAATAAACGCATCAAAACAAACCATTGGGAGCTCTTATACAACACCTGAGTTGATCAAACGTTGAATAATAGCTTTCAGAGTTGTACAAGAATGTAGTTGTATTACCTTTTTGGTTAAACGCTTCAAAAGCTGCTTGGAGCACTCTTAAATGATTGTTTACGTTCGGTTAAACTGTTTGACAGGAGCCATATAGAACGTGAAATAAACGCATCAAAACAAACCATTGGGAGCTCTTATACAACACCTGAGTTGATCAAACGTTGAATAATAGCTTCCAGAGTTGTACAAGAATGTAGTTGTATTGCCTTTTTGGTTGAACGCTTCAAAAGCTGCTTGGAGCACTCTTAAATGATTGCTTACGTTCGGTTTACCTATATGCTTTATAAGACCTACGATAACTTTTATAGCACCTTAGTTAAACTGATTGACAAGAGCTATATAGAACGTGAAATAAACGCATCAAAACAAACCATTGGGATCTCTTATACAACACCTGAGTTGATCAAACGTTGAATAATAGCTTCCAGGGTTGTACAAGAATGTAGTTGTATTGCCATTTGGTTAAAAGCTTCAAAAACTGCTTGGAGCACTCTTAAATGATTGTTTACGTTCGACCAACCACAATTTTCTTGCTAAAAATAGCACAAGTGATAGGCATGTTTATATAACCATAAGGCAATGATTATTCGACTGCAAGAGAAGTTACTCAAGATGAGCTTGATATACTTCTCTCATATGATCAAAATATGTATTCAAGAATAGAGCAGATGGAAACAGAAGCGGCTGGCAATCCGGGATCATGAGTTCGAATCTTGCTTCGAGAAACCTTTGGTGGAGTAGAGGTAAATTATATATAGGTGTTATTAATAAATGCAAACATTAATTTAAGACATATATCATATAATCAACGATCAGCAAATGAGCCTAGAAAAATAAACGAATTATTAAAAAAAAAATATAATCAACGATAACATTTCTAGATAAATTCTCTCAATTAATGATTAGAGAGATTAATTGAAAGAATATCAATCAAAGATTAAACAGATGCTTGTTACTACTTCCTCCATGATCACAGAATGTGAATTATGGCATAATTACATATTTTTTCAATGTGCACAAATAAATTAAATTAATAAAAACTGTACAAGCAATTATTTTGGCGTACCACGACAATTGTTAAACTAATTTTAATCTCTGAATATTGTGAGTACTTACACAACGGTTATTAAGGAGTCATTAAAAAGTGCTATAAACGCTTTTCACCGCTTGCTGTATAGTAATTATTTAGGAGTCATAAAAGAGTGTAACAAACGCCTCTCAGGTGCAATCTCTAATACATTTCGAAGCAGCTGTTAGGAGGTGTCTACAAACGTTGTATTAGAGCTTTCACCAAAACAATAAAGCTTGAGTTCAAATATGTATCTATAAACGTTGTATAAAAGTTGCTTCTATCCGGTTGTTAAGGAGTCATTGAAAAGTGTTATAAACGCTTTTCACCGCTTGCTGTACAATGATTATTTAGGAGTCATAAAAGAGTGTAACAAACGCCTCTCAGGTTTCCTCTCTACTAAATGTCAAGGCAGCTGTCAGGAAGTGTCTACAAACGTTGTATAAGAGCTTTCACCAAAACAATAAAGCTTGACTTTAAATATTTATATATAAACGTTGTATAAAAGTTGCTTCTATCCGGTTGTTAAGGAGTCATTGAAAAGTGCTATAAACGCTTTTCACCGCTTGCTGTACAATGATTATTTAGGAGTCATAAAAGAGTGCAACAAACGCCTCTCAGGTTTACTCTCTACTAAATTTCAAAGCAGCTGTCAAGAAGTGTCTACAAACGTTGTATAAGAGCTTTCACCAAAATAATAAAGCTTGAGTTTAATATGTATCTATAAACGTTGTATAAAAGTTGCTTTTACTCCTATACCGCGTATACATATAATGCTGTAGTTGAACAGGTTCTCCAAACCAGTGTAAACAAGAGTTTTACAGAAGTTGTGGTTAACACATTGTGCAATTATTATTCGACTTGCAGCTGAACAAAATCAAAACGAAAGCGTTTCTTCAACTGGAAATTGTTACTTGGGTGGTCAACTTTGACATGTTATAACTTTGTTCTCATAAGGTTAATTGAGCTGAAACCTTCACCACAAAACTACAGATATGTTCCAATTTAGTGGTTTTTAAATACTAAATTTGTTTAAGCACCTGCTGAAAAGTGAGATACTAGTCAAAAATGTTTGAAACAATCGTAGTTTTTGATTAAACAAGTGTGTTCATTTGTGAATGGGGTGGGATTTTTTTCCCTTGATTTGTTTTCCGTACTGAGTACTAATGCTACCGACGCCAGGAAGGCGTATTTTGTATTTTCTATATAGTAATGACAAATTCAATATTGTTTTTTATTGCTTATGATGTTTCTGATTACACCTACTCATTCAAAGTTTCTAATTTCTTGATCAAAATTGTTTGCGATTCTCGCAGGGTTTTCTACATTAATCGAGTATTATCATAGTAACCCCAAAACAAAAATCTGATGTTCGGTCACAAGACAATAAAAATAGTACAAATGCAATAATTCCTGATAAACATGTTACCAACGAATTGACTCTAGGATCCCCAGTACTTGTTTAAAAAAAATCAAAAACATTCATTGTTGCAAATAATATTTAGAATATACATTTTAAAAAAACTACAAGGGACAGCCCAATGGTTGGTTGTACGAACAGTTGACGCAGAACTACGCTCACATATGTTAACAATTTTGAACGAACGTTATTTAAAATTCTCGATATTATTATGACATCCGTGAATTTCTTCCGAAGTGTAATAATTGGTCAGTGTCCATTTTCCGTTTAATACTAATAAGATTCTTTTTCAGTTCATGTGTAATTATTCTTATGTTAGAAAACATTCCAAACTAACTCTTTCTTTGAAAATCGTGGTGACCCTGAAAAGGGCCATTTTGATGGTTTGTGGCTCTGAAAAGAGCCGTTTTTATGTTGCTGGCCCTCAAAAGGACCGTTTTGGTGATGTGGTTTTAAAATGAACGGTATGTAAGGTGACGTTGTTGTAAAAGGATACTGTGAACACCCAGTTCAACGGGGAAGCATCCTACTGCCATCGTACTGTGTCGTCGGTGGCTATAAAATAAAGCAAATGATCAACCATATTCAAGAATTATTCATAAACATATGCATGGGCCACCCAATGTAGTCGGCAGCTTAGGGTCTGATACAAGATCGAGTTGCAGAAAATTCTTCATAAATTGGACGAATCCGATATTCTCAGCTTTCGAGACGCCTACGTTGAAATCCCCCGCAGGTGCTGGTTCCAGGAATTTCATTCATGCCAAGTTTAGTAGAACTCCTAACCTATCTCTTTTGAAATTAGTTATTGGCCCTGAAAAGGGTCGTTTCACATGGGGAAAATGAACGAAACTTAACCTCCGAAACCATACAGGGTGCGTCCCTGACGCTTCAGAGCGTACGCTTGGCGTCTTCAGAGTAGGTAACAGCGTCACGAATGACGTTTTCCAGCAACACCTTCAGCATACCTCGGGTTTCCTCGTAGATCAGACCGGAGATATGCATTATCACGACGAGCCTGACGGCAGTCTCGGAAAATACCCTGTAAGTTATCAT